TAGCTCCATTTTGACTTGCAATTATTTTCTTCCAATTTAAATTCCATTTTTGTATTTAGAAATTAATGTTTAATTTACCAAGTCAACAATGTTAAATGATGTGAGAGTTATGGTTAAATAATTGTTTCTAGTTAGTTAGCTTAGATTATTATAAGTAGACAATAATTTCAGCATGCATACTCATGTAACACAACATAGAAAGTCGATTCTGAAAAGCGAACACATTTTTCTTTCGTCGTTGCTACCAATTCTACTATTGATATCAGAAATAGTATAAATCTTTCAAATCTCAAATCTGAACTCTGCTACATCTGTGAAAGTCAGAGTTACAATAGTATAAGTACAAATATGCGGATGGAATGCGTAAAGAATAGTATGCCCTTACTTGTCAAGGGTTATTTTCTTCCTCCATTTTTCACTTTCTGCTTTTCCTTCTTTTTTTTTCCTGTATCCTTCTGTATTAAAAACAAAAGATTCAACAAATCATTTGTTGGTTCATCGAAATAAAAAGAATTCGATTTTTTTTAAATAAAATTTTAAATTTAAATCTTATAAATAAAAAAATAGGTATTGAAATTTTTTTTTCCTAATGAGGTCTTACATAATTTAATTTTAAATTAATTAAAATTTAATGTGATTACTGAATATCGAGAAGTTAATAAAAAAAATCTATTCACATATAATGATTAATGATCAGAGGGACGAAATTAAAAGACAAAATTGAAGGATAAAATTGAGAGACGACAAGTAAAAATTATAAAATACAAAATTATCAATTTCACCTGCTTGCTTGTCGTCTCTCAATTTCGTCTGCCTAATCATTACTCACATGTAATTCTTACCTATTATATTTATTTAAAAATCTTCATTAATTAATTGTAACTGAAGTTCTGCGATGCTAGGTACCCTAGCATAGAAGTACCAGGAGGTTAAGAAAAAAAAACCTACCTACTAGGTGTAAGCACGAATGAGGCTAAAAAAAGAAACCTACCAGCTAGGTGTGGGTCCACATGTTACCTACAACCTTCTATTCTATTTCCATGTATGCACGTTAGAAATAACCCTTAAAAACCCAAGAAAATTGCACTTTCCAATTAATTTACACTTGGCATTGGGGAACGGGACACCGCATACAAGTTACGCGTCTTGCTTTATTGTACTAAATTATAATTAATTAATATGTCAAATAGTTTTTTAATTATTAAACACGAGCTGCATCGAAATTAAAAAATAAAATAAATAAAATGAAGGAAAGTGCATGATCAGGGTAGATCTGCACATGGATTTTATTCCCTGGGTCATGTCACTTGAAATCAAAGGAAACATAAAGTATAAATATATATATTTATCTTGATTAAATAATAAAAAATAATTATTTTTTATTTTTTATTTTATTTTATTTATATAT